CTTTCAGCTGCTTCCTGTGTCTCAAAATGTACAAATCCATAACCTTTGGAACCATTTTCATCACAAACCACCTTACATGAAAGGATGTTACCAAAAGCAGAAAATGTACCATACTGTGCTTTATTATCAATGGATTTGCCCAAATTTTTAATGAATATGTTGCCCACTCCACTTTTGCGAAGTGATGGATCACGCTGAGACCACACGATGCGTACTGGCTTTGCCCTTTATAACATCAAAATTCATGGTGGCCAAAGCGCGCTCCGCGTCCGCCGGCCGCTGGAAGTTCACATGCGCGTAGCCCAAGGAGCGGCGGCTGATCATGTCCCTGCAGACCTGGATGAAGAGGATGGGCCCGGCCGGGCTGCACTTCTGGTAGAGCATCGCCTCGGTTACGTCGGGGTGTAGGTCCCCCACGTAGAGCGAGGCCATAGGGTAGCTGGGGGCGCTGGGGTTCATCTCGGCACGGCTGCCCGCAGGGCGGAGGAGAGCGAGTGCTGGGCCGGGGGCCGGAGCCGGGGGAGGGGAGCGGGGGCAAGCGCAGAGGGACAAAAATCACCCGGAATCGAAAACTACCCAACGGCCGCAGAACGGGGTCGATGGGCTGCCGCCAGCGGCTGGCTGTTGGCTGCCGGCTGGGAAGCGAGGGTGGCGCTGTCGGGTCAGGGCCGCGGGAAGGCCTCGGTCTCTTGGTTCCTCTTTGGAGCTGCTGCGGGGCCGCGGGCGAGTCGGTCTCGGCTGCTTCATCGGGTTATTTTATAAAAGAGGAAGAAAAAAAAAAAAAAAGTCTCCGGCGGGGGAGACGCGGATTCTTTGTAAATTTTTTTGGGTTTTTTAAAAGATTTTTTTAGATTTTTTTTAGATTTCTTTAATAATAAATGTGTGTTCCGAGGCCGGAGCACACACTCCACACTCTGAGCACTAACCGCCGGGGAGAAGGGGCATTTCATGGGGTTTTGAATGAGTGAGTGAGAGAACGAATGAACTAACAAACTATCCTACTGTGGGTGGGTATTATTTGGTGGCATATTCAGCTTGGGAGAACTCATAAAAACCGCGGCTTAATATTATGAAGCCATTGTTTAAAAGGCATCCGGGATATCTATATTTACTCATTTGGAAAGTTGTCAACAATATATTATCAAGTGAAAAGAGCAGATTCTAGAACATGAACCTGTTCTGAACAAAAACTCAGGTACATTTAATTCCAAGACGTTATCAACTTTTCAAGTATCCAGGAACAAAATCCAGGACAAGCTCATGATGCAATAAAAATTGGAAATTCAGAGCTATTTATTTATTTGTGGAATTTGGAGCTATTTATTTGTGGAATTTGGAGATTGGCTTGAACTCATGACCCTGAGATCAAAAGTTGCATCCTCCACCAACTGAGTGAGCCAGGCACCCCAAATTTGGAGATTTTTAAAGAAAATTAAAGGAGAGTAGTCTCCCAGAATACATTGGACACCCCAAAGAGTATCAGTATTGATGGCTCTGTCACTTCTATGCAGAAGGGACTTCATCAATTTTCTACTGCTGTGTCACACATTATCTCAAAACCTAGTGACTTAGAACGATGGCAACCATTTTATTATTATTCTCTCTCGTTTCCCATTGACTGGCCTCAGCCAGGCGGTTCTCAATGGCATCTTTCATGTAGTTGTAATCAAACCATGGCTGGGGCCTGAGTCTTTCTCATGGCTGGGACCTCAGCTAGGGCTCACCTGTACGTGGCCTCGCCGTGTTGTCTGGGTTTCTTCCCAGCATGGCAGCCTGGATTTCATGAATTAATGTCCCAAGAGGAGAGAGGCAGGCAGAAGCTGATCTGCATTTATGACCCAGCCTCAGAAGTCAGAGCACATCACTTCTGTATTCTGCTGGTTAGAAACAAATTACTAGGGACAGCCCATATTCAAGGAAGGGGAATTAGACACCACCCCTGATGGAGAGAATCTCAAAGAATTTGTGGGCATATTTTATTTTTTTAAAGATTTTGTTTATTTATTTGACAGAGACGCAATGAGAGAGGGAACACAAGCAGGGGGAGTGGGAGAGGGAGAAGCAGGCCTCCCGCCGAGCAGGAAGCCCAATGCGGGGCTGGATCCCAGGACCCTGGGACCATGACCTGAGCTGAAGGCAGATGCTTAACGACTGAGCCACCCAGGCGCCCCAGTGGGCATATTTTAAAAACCGCCACAGGAGTCATGAAGGAGACTGCTCTGGGCTCTGCAAGCAAAGGCTTCCCGGGCAAATGCCATGACTGCTGAATAAGGAGCAGGGCACACGTCAACTTCGGGAGGGACAGAAGTGGGAATGGGCCCTGGACATGCAGTGGTCTAGGGCACGGAGCAGAAGAGTCCATTCCCTATGCCCAGTGCTGGACCCATTCCTGGCTGTCCAATGTGCCCACTGCTCAAGTCTGGCCCTTCCTGAGCAGTGCAGTCTGACCTGGCAAAAGATGCAGACAGACCTGTTTCCCAGCCCAGTATGCTGCCTACTGCCTCTCAAATTTGGATGAATTACCCCAGTCTCGTTAGGGATTATATTAGCCAGGGTCCTGGCAGAAAACAGATGACACACTCAATGGGGGTAATTTGAGGAGAGTTTAATACGAAGACTATTTACAAAGGTGTGAATAAGGTGTAGAGTAACCCTGGGGGATTGTGCAGTAATCCAAGACTGGGGACGAGGGACTAGGAACAATTGAGCTGTCACCTCCCCGGGGCGGAAGGACAAAACCTGGAGACAGAGAGGCTGTGTGGAGGGCTACCCTACAGGTGGTGGAACCGTGGGTGGCAGGACAAAGCCAGCCAGTGGGGGCTCTGCGGTGGGAACTGGGGAACAAACATCTCAAGTGCTCTCTCTTCCGAGTGCCGCCTGCTGCCAGAGCTTCCCACTGGCCAAACCCAAGGGGAAGCCAGAGCAGGAGTGAGCTGGCTAATTCTGTCTCGACAGCTCAGCCCCTGGGGGCTCGCGGTGGTGGGAGAGGGGTGGAAGGCTGATCTGGAGGGGCAAACAGAAGACGCCAGGCATAGAGATCAAATGGGAAAATGAATGAAGACTGCCTGGCCCAGAGAAGTCGCTCGGTAGGGCTGAGTTCCAACGCTCTGTTCAAAAGATGTAGAAAAGGTGGTGCTTCCAACTCACGGAGCTTTACTTGGCATAAAAATGCACATGAGTGTGTCCTAATACAAAACATTTAAATGAATGTTCGTCGTTTCCCCCGGGAAGGAGGGAGGCACGCGCAGCCAGCTCGGGAGGCATAGCGCAGCCTCTAGCGGCATCTAGTGGTGGCTTAATGCGTGGACAAAATGTGGGGCTTCGGGGCGGCCCCAGCGCGCCAACTGTTGCAAACCTCAGTAATGGTCCCCATCCAAACTGCTCGAATCATCTAGGCCTCCTGGAATTTGGCCATCACAGTTTTAACCACATCTTTCTTGGAACCCATCTAAAGATATAACCAGGCAGAAAGCGCCGGCAGAAGATTCAGAATAAATTTCGTAATCATAGTGAGATGTGCTGCCTGACAAAAACGAAAACGGATGGAGAAGAGGTATCTCCACTCCCATGGTCATTGCACAGGAGCCGAGCTACAGCAACAAACTAAGCGTCCCTGAACGGAAGAATGGTTAAAGAAGATGTGCTGTATCATACGGCGGCGTATTTTTCTGACATGAGAAAGAAGGAAACCCTGCCATTTGTGACAATATAGATGGACCTCGGTGACAGTATGCCAAATGAAATAAGTCAGAGAGAGACAAATATTGTATATATCTCTTATGTGTGGAAGCTAAAAAAACAAAAAATGGGCACCTGGGTGGCTCAGTCGTTAAGCGTCTGCCTTGGGCTCAGGTCATGGTCCCAGGGTCCTGGGATGGAGCCCTGCGTCGGGCTCCCTGCTTCGCCGGGAAGCCTGCTTCTCCCACTCCCCCTGCTTGTGTTCCCTCTCTCGCTGTGTCTCTCTCTTTCAAATAAATAAATAAAATCTTTAAAAATAAATAAATAAGAATTAAAAAAATAAAAAAACAAAAAACAAACTCAAAAAGACAGGGACTGAGGATGGGGAATGGGAGAGATGTTGCTTAAGAGTACATGCTGGAGACTAGTAGATAAATGTGTCCTGGAGGTCTAATACACAGTACAGTAATTAGAGACAACAAAACTGTATTATGTATTATAAACATTAAACTCGCTAAGAGCTTAGATCTTAATTGTTCTCACCACTAGAAGAAATGATCGTTTTGTGACATGACAGAGATACCAGCTAACACTACAATGGCAGTCATATTGCAACATAAATGCATCAAATCCATATGTTGTACACCTTAAGCTTATACCGTGTTATATGTCTATTATATCTCAATAAAAAAATGAGAATTGGATTACAACACCACTCGGGCCGTGCTCTCTGGCTGCTGCCGCAACCTCCACCCTTGCCTCCGGTGGACATTAAAGATCCAAAACCATGACTGACTCCAAGTACTTCACAACCAATAAAAAAGGAGAAATCTTTGAATTAAAGGCTGAACTCAACAATGAAAAGAAAGAAAAGACGAAGGAGGCTGTGAAGAAAGTGATTGCTGCCATGACTGTGGGGAAGGACGTTAGTTCTCTCTTTCCAGATGTAGTGAACTGTATGCAAACTGACAACCTGGAATTAAAGAAGCTTGTTTATCTCTATTTGATGAACTACGCCAAGAGTCAGCCAGACATGGCCATCATGGCTGTCAACAGCTTTGTGAAGGACTGTGAAGATCCCAATCCTCTAATTCGGGCCTTAGCAGTCAGGACCATGGGGTGCATCCGGGTGGACAAGATTACAGAATATCTCTGTGAGCCTCTCCGCAGGTGCTTGAAGGATGAAGATCCCTATGTTCGGAAAACAGCAGCAGTCTGTGTGGCAAAACTCCATGATATCAATGCCCAAAGATCAGGGATTTCTGGATTCTCTGCAGGATCTCATAGCAGATTCAAATCCAATGGCGGTGGCTAATGCTGTAGCAGCATTATCTGAAATCAGTGAATCTCACCCAAACAGCAACCTACTTGATCTGAACCCACAGAACATTAATAAGCTGCTGACAGCCCTGAATGAGTGCACTGAATGGGGCCAGATTTTCATCTTGGACTGCCCGTCTAATTACAACCCTAAAGATGACCGGGAGGCTCAGAGCATCTGTGAGCGTGTGACTCCCCGGCTTTCTCATGCCAACTCAGCAGTGGTGCTTTCAGCGGTAGAAGTCCTAATGAAGTTTCTGGAGTTGTTACCCAAGGACTCCGACTACTACAACATGCTGCTGAAGAAGTTGGCCCCTCCACTTGTCACTTTGCTGTCTGGGGAGCCAGAGGTGCGGTACGTCGCCCTGAGGAATATCAATCTAATTGTCCAGAAAAGGCCTGAAACCTTGAAGCAGGACATCAAAGTCTTCTTTGTGAAGTACAATGATCCCATCTATGTTAAACTAGAGAAACTGGACATCATTATTCATTTAGCATCCCAAGCTAACATTGCTCAGGTTCTGGCGGAATGAAAGGAATATGCCACAGAGGTGGATGTTGACTTTGTTCGCAAGGCTGTGCGGGCCATCGGACGGTGTGCCATCAAAGTGGAGCAATCTGCTGAGCGCTGTGTAAGCACATTGCTTGATCTCATCCAGACCAAAGTAAATTATGTGGTCCAAGAGGCAATTGTCGTCATCAGGGACATCTTCCGCAAACACCCCAACAAGTCCAAAAGTATCATTGCCACTCTGTGTGAGAACTTAGACTCACTGGATGAACCAGATGCTCGAGCAGCTATGATTTGGATTGTGGGAGAATATGCTGAGAGAACTGACAATGCAGATGAGTTACTAGAGAGCTTCCTGGAGGGTTTTCATGATGAAAGCACCCAGGTGCAGCTCACTCTGCTTACTGCCATCGTGAAGCTGTTTCTTAAGAAACCATCAGAAACACAGGAGCTGGTACAGCAAGTCTTGAGTTTGGCAACACAGGATTCTGATAATCCTGACCTTCGAGACCGAGGCTATATTTATTGGCGCCTTCTCTCAACGGACCCTGTCACAGCCAAAGAAGTAGTCTTGTCTGAGAAGCCACTGATCT